TGTCTATTGGATTGTTGTACATGCTTTATTCAGTATGTAATTGGAATAAGAGCTTTCTGCGTCTGTTACAAAGTATTTCAATGAATTTTTCTCAAAGTCCTCAAGCCCGGATTCGATAGAGGGTTTCTCCCCCTCATAAAAATCCGAAGGATTAATGTTGCAAAAAATTGTTTTGGATCGTCCTCGTCGGCTCGTGAAAAGTGAGTGGAGTGGAAGAAAAGTCGTTGAAAGGACTATTAAAGATTAAAGGGGAGTCGTACTCTGACTGGAAGAGGAAACAATTATTAGAAGTGAACCTCCAGGAACGGCAAAAGAAAATGGAAAGACGTTCGGTCAAGAGTTCCACCAATTATCCAGAGAGTAATGATCTCCTCCATCAATTAAAACCTTGTTTTTCCCACAAATTTTTCGCCCCTCTTCAACACTCGTGGTGTCCTGCAATATAAATTGAGTCGGCCCTTCTCACCCCCGCGGTAAATCCATTATTCAACCGTGTTTTTCCTTTCGCACCCCCACACCATCGCGCGGCCCGTTCTGCCAGATTAAACAGGGCGCGATATTTTTGGTCGCTGCATCTGCGACCCGCAGGATAAACAGTGTTTCTCTTTGATTAATTTATTCAGACTACCAGAATCGCATCAATTTTCAATAGGTCGGCTCTAAAACGGCTTAACTGAAATTCAGTCACGAATAGTATGAATCTCCTCGGCTTGTTTTACATTGATCAACATTGACTCTTTTTTTTTTACTTTTTTTCGATTGGTGTATTATGTGAAACCGTCCTGTGAACGATTCGAATAAGAGACTGTTTCATCGCATTTATCAACACATTTCTCTCATAATGTTGTTTCAATTCTACTCCTATAAGCTCTGTCATTATTAAATCTGAAGTGATTATGAAAATTTGAAACCAGAATATTAATATCACTTTCCCAAAATTGAACCATTAAAATGAAATAAAGCATTATGATTTTAAAGATGAGATGACGGATCGATCTGCTGTTAAACTATGTGGAAAAAGGATGTTCGGTGAGGTCACAACAGATCCACAATTCTTTCGGTTTTTGCCGAGCTTTCGACGATTATATCGTCATCATCACGGCTTTAACTCGATGAGTGTTAACATATCTCTTGAGGAAAACTGCATTTATAATAAATTATTTAAATTTAGTGAAGCTCAGCATCTCGGTTAACATACGTATAAGTACATGCCTCTTTTCTTACTTTTTTCAGGTACATTTGTATATTACAGAGTTGATTAATTAAGGTTTTTTTATAAAATATACTATATACAGATAACTAAAATCACAGTGCTAATAATTTTTCGCACAAGGTAGAGAAATGTACGTTTTGTAACGAGAAAGCCACTCGAGCCTCATGTCTCTTCCTTGTGGGAGAAGTTAGCACTGTAATTTTAATTACCTGTGTATAGTACATTTTATAAAAAACTTAAGTAATCAACAACTGTGATATCCAAATGTACCAAAGTAAGAAAAGAGGCATGTACTTATATGTAATGTTAGCGAGCTTTATGAAATTTAAATTTATTATAAATGCAGTTTTCCTCAAAATATATGTTTAACACTCATCGAGTTAGAGCCTTGATGATGGCGATATAATCGGCGAAAGCTCGGCAACAACTGAAAGAATTGTCGTTCTGTTGTGATCTCACCGAAGACTCTTTTTCCAGGTATTATGATTTTTTTCCCATAAAGTCTAGGGAATTTAAGTAGTTTGGTTATTTAGATTGTTTTGAACTTTTAGACGTATTTTCCCAGCATTTACTTGTGGTTTAGTACTATGAGCAGGGTGAGACAAAACACCCATAACATATTTTTAATTTTATTTATCTCAATTTATATTGTATATTAGAACTATATTCAATTGTTTTTCATATGATTTTGCACTGCCTGTGGTCGCTATTTTGCAAGAGGTTCCAAAAATTTTAGTTTTTCTCGAGTTTTACAGTCATTATTTTCATGTAAGTACCTTATAGAGTTCACATACGCGACAAACAGACATCTTGGCAGATTACTTAAAATAAGTAAATAGATTTATTTCTTACTAAGATCTAGTAAAAGACAAATCTGCAGTTTTGTTCTTGCTTCCGATAATTTTAGTCAGCAAATCCTCGCCGTTTCGGTCATTGAAACTCGTTCTCTTTTCAGTATCAAATCAGAGATGTAGACAAGGCAAGGCAAGATACAAAATCAAATCAATAAAAGTTAAGCTTTGAAGTAAAACATAACACAGCTTCACTAAATACATTAACATAACATATTGTAAGTATTATTATTATATGTAATAATAACATTAAATCTAGTATTACTACAACCTAAACTACAAAAACTACAAGATAAATAATTGTTCCTACTTCTTTTCTTCTTTAGATTTATTTTTCGAGTTTGCTCTATAAACTTAGTGTGTTTGGTCGATTCCATTAGTTCAATTCTGTCTTCTTCACGATTTTGCCCTTTGAGGTAAGTATCATCTTTTCAGGCAGGATGACACAAAGCACTAATTTTTGTACAGCCGGAAGTTAACTATAACAACTTCCTGTAAATAGCATTGCAACATTAGAATGCGAGATTTTCTTCTTCTCTTTGGATCTGCATGGTTAAAACAATGAAATTAGAATACTAGGCAAAGATTTATTACTGAAATGATTCGAAAAACCTTCATTTCGCTATGAGTTATTCTACATGAGTTTTTTATAGTCAGACATACCTTTTGTGTGAAGGGTTAAATAACGTACAAGCATTCTTTTAATGAACATTAATTTTACATTTAACATTTTAACTCAAAAACACAATATTAAAATATAATTAATTATATGAAAATTTCTTTTTATGGTTTTTAATAAGTAGCAGGTAAATCGGTGGAGCTAAATTACACAGCTACTACTTTCTAACGTTAGGTAATATCCATTTGCTTTTTTTTTGTTCTGTGTTTTGTTTCCTTAATATTTAAATAAAACAAGACGTGAAGAAAGTCACTAGTTTTGATTGTTTTATTAAACGTTTACTTTAGTTAGACACTAAGTAAATAAAGTTTATTATTTATATGATTTGCTCTGTTATCCCTATGTAAATTAAATTTTAAAAAAAATTATTTTTGTTCCAAAATTTATTCCTACCTTTTCAGAGTGATAGAGCCTTGAATCATCAGCTTCACCTTCGAAATTTTACGAAAAAAACATAATTATACAAACTAGCTTACAAAGCTGATTAATGGCCCTTGCTCTATACAATACAGTTCATTTGATGACTTCAGACCTCCAGAGGTAAAGTCTGTTGTAAATGTTATTAATTACGAAGGAAAAACAACTACTTAAACTACTGTAATGAATAATGTAGGATTGGTTTGTCCATGAAATACTGTTTTAAAGTGTTACTTAATATTTACTTTCTTCTTGAAGTAAAGTTTATAAGAGTAAATTTTTGCTTGCTCGTGCTTGTCGAAACTTGAAACTCAATTAATTATTGCTACGTTTAAAGAAAATGGAACTGTAATGTAAATGATCCTCTAGCGTCATTCTACTTAAAAAATATTATTAATAGTTATTGATATGAACATAGAGGCAAGCTGGGTGTGGTGTTTAGTGACCGTTAGCTGATGATGATTATTTGGAGATCGTGAGGTGTGGTCTGGTGTGACGTAGGTTTTAGAAAAACATTTTCTTTATCGTGCCAACGTTTCGATCTTTATTGAGATCATCTTCAGGGCTCAAAGTGTCTGTTTTCCGTGTAGATGTGTCATTCTTGTGTTTCGAGTTGAGAGTGTTAGTTGGCACTCAAAGATCTCAACAAACATAGAAACGTTGGTATGATAAATAAAATGTTTTTGTAAAACCTACGTCACACCAGACCGCATCTCACGATCTCCAAATAATTAATAGAGAAAAGCCTTGATTAGTTTCACCGAAATGCTGATTGAAGTATACGAATAAATCTTTATGTAAGGTATTGGTTGAAATAAAAAAAGCCTCGAGCGGGATTCGAACCCACTATATTCGGCTTAATAGCCTGCTGCTTTGGGTTGAGATGGGAAGTTGGTGTCCGAGTGGATCGAAGTCAGGATAGCTCAAGTGGTATAGCAGGGGTGTATTTAGCCGAAGGTCGTGGGTTCGAATCCCGCTCGTGACACTGGCTTTTTATTTCAACCAATACCTTACATAAAGATTAATTAAATGAAAGAAGTTATTTGGTCAATCGGACCACAAACTGGATTTATACGAATAAATGTGTAAACTATTTAAAAAATAGTCAAGTCAAATAAAAGACATTTTTTAATGTTAACCTATGTGTTTCCAATATTTTTGACTGAAGAACATATTCTTGCAATTAAAGTGTAAAAAACTAAAGTCCTTAACGGATATAAGGTGTGTTCTGGGTGTATAAACTGTAACTTTTTGAAGATATATCGAATTGTTGGGATTTTAGGTTTTTAAAACGTTGTCATTTGTTCCAACTTTTTCAAAAGAATTTTCTCCCTTTTTCTTTTAGGGGAAAAGACGACGGCTTCGTCTGATAAGTAGAATTCATTCAATAAGCTATCAGCGAAACGTCAGTCAAAAGAACACCTATTTACATACCGATCTACCACCTCACCTTTCTTTCTCCTGTCTATTTACCATTATCTCTTGATAATAATTTCAAGAACTTTATTTTTTATATAACACATTGTATTTTTTATATTAATATTACAATAAAAATTAATGTATTATTGATCTTAGCTGGAAAAGAAATACGATAAATTTCTTCCAAAGTTCCAGTAAAAATATAAGTTTATAAAAATAAATGGAACAGAATGAAGTTTCTTTGGTGCGTATAATAACTAATCGTTGACACTATTATCCATATACATATACAGATGAACAATTTCCTTCCATAATGGTTCTTTGCTGTTTTGGCTCGTAATTTTTATTACCGTTGTTATCCCTCGTCCATTAGGCAACCATTTTTCAGACAAATAAACTTAATTTTGCCAAAATATATTACCTTCGTTTTTGAGCACGTTGTTCTACATCTGTATATTCCGCGTTCTGAAGTAATCTGTAAAACAAAAAATATTTTTATGAATTGGATAAGTATATGCAGGAATACATTTTTTTTAAAATGTTTTGAGTTTAATAAATTTTTCGATTTGTTGATTTCGAATGTGCCGTAATGCCTAATTATGTGTACATTTTTTTCTTTTTTAGAGGGTTCGCAACAGCAGAGATTATATCAACCCTTGGGGTGCCGGTGTTCTTTTTAAAAAGCCCATTTGTAAGTATGTCGGGTTCGAATGCAGGGCCGCTGGATTCGAACCGGGGACCTTTACCTTGCAGTGAAGAGCCCCGTTTCAATGTCGTTGTGGCCACCGACGCCCCTACAATTTCATGTTGTATGATTTAATAACTAACGAAACAATTTTCAAATAGTGTTCATTTTAAAATAAAGCTTTAAAAACCTGTTTTTACATCAATGTGATGTCATTTCATTTTAATTTACGACAGGTTTTCATTCTAGTTAAAAAACTGAAAGATATAATTTCCAATAAGTGTGCCATTAAAAAAATAATAATTCAATTTCTATTCATAAATGCAAGGTATCGAGTTTATTATCGATTTATTACAAAATGTTTTATAATTACAAACTGCAATTCCTTTTAAATATCATAAAATCGACATACGCTAAAATAAGACAAGCGGTGTAAATATTCCTCTCTTCTCGTTTATTTCCCTATAAAGAATAAGACAAATAGTAATGCATTCTTATGAAATATGTATGATAATCCTCTGAGTCCGCGTTACTTTTGCATATATTGATAATAATAAAAGTTTTGAAACGAGGGCAATGTTTATGATTTTATACACCACTTTTGTAATCGCACATCCATTTGTCGCAATACAAAAATATTTTTGACATTCATAACTATTAATTTATTGTCAACATTCATTTAAGAGAGTGTAATAAATGAACAGTATCATATGTTTTTATAATGAATTGGAATTAATCTGAAATCTTTACCGTATTGTATAAAGTTAAATATTACTCCCCTGACAATGATTTTTTTTATACTACTAACCGTACAAAATTAGATACATCATGTAATGAAATACAATACTATTTTATCATTTGCACACGTCCACAGCTGTCGCTCTCCCAGCTTTCTGAATATTTACATACTATTCGGAAGGAGATCCCGGGGCCATCTACGTTTGCCACATAACTAAATTGTAGGGAAGATTAATGTTGGACATGGATAGGGCTCATGAGTTGGGACGCGAGGTAGGTTTTCCTGCAACGTGAAAAATTTTGGGGATTAGGTTTTTAACTATGGATATTTGCTGGTCATAGTGAAGAATAGAGTTGGAAGCATAGTAGGGTGCGTAGAATAATTATTCCAATGCCTTTGGAAAGACTGTATTCTTTGTGTGTTTATGGCTTTAGCAGTGTCCCATAGTTCTAATCTATATGTGCAGATCGGTTTCAGTAGTATCTTGTAAAGTACTAGGTTTTAGATCATATATGTCGGTGGCAGGTAAGATGTGAGTTTGAGATAGAACATAACTTAGCGTACACTGACAGTTTGTGGGATAGAAGGTGGATTTTATTTTGGAAGATAAAGGTAATACGGCTACATTTCGTTTAATTTATCTAAATATGCCAGAAGTTGTTCTTTCCCTATGTTCGCAATACGTGTGCCTGGAGCTTCTTTCGAACCAATTGTGATGTCAAGAACAGAGGATAGTACAGTGTCGTAGGCAAGAAAGCTAGGAGGGTGGAGGGTGTAGCCGGGATATCTGTACTGCCGACTCCATCCGTGGATGCTCTGAGCGAAGGTGGTTTATTTATTGCTTTGTGTTTTATAATTAATTAATTGTTCAAATTTTTTGTAAAGTGCGGTTTTTTCCCTTTGTTTTCATGCTTATTAAAGTTATTTATATACCAGTCTATTTCGTTTGTACGTATGGTAGGACAGTAATACGGCTGGATGGGTCTTAGTGAGTTCAGATATATAAAATATAACAAAAATGATTTCAGTATAGTAGACCCAAAACGTAAGCTTTAAAGAAAAATCAGGTTCATTTTAACTACTTTTTAAATAAAAAATTTTATATCAAACAAAAATTTAGATTTTGGGGATGGCTCAGCCAAAGGCATTTATTTATAAATCTCCGATGTCCGATTTCGTCTTAAAAATTCATAACACCTCTGGATTTGATCAAACTCAACGTTATTACAACCATTGATTATCTCTACTTTCAGGCTATGTTAAAAGGTTTAGCTTTTATGTGATTATAAACGAGAAAAAAAGGATTAAATCAACAAAAAATGCCATACGTTTTGCTTAATTTTTTCACTTGCAAATTATTTATAGAGATCCGTTTTAGTTTATAGCGCTCTAAACCCCAGTGAGGTTTCCTATGACCAGAGAAGTCTTTTCAAAGTATCGTTATTTTTGTGTCTTACGAACAAAATCTGAGGCATTTTGAAGGAGAAAAGTTTGAGCAAATATTTTTTTTGTTTTTCGAACAAAATCTGAGGCATTTGAAAGGCGAAAGGTGTGACAAAATTCATTAGAGTTCGTGGTCCGATTAACATTTTTCAATTAATTAATCTTTATATAAGGTATGTGTTGCTATAAAAAAGTCATTGTCATGAACGAGATTCGAACCCACGATACTCGACTAAATACGCCGCTGCTCTACCACTTGAGCTATCGTGACTTCGATCCACTCGGACTCTAACTTCCTATTGAAAAATCGCAAAAAGGAGGGAAAATTCGAAAGGTGGCGTTGAGATGGGAAGTGAGATGGGATAGCTCAAGTGGTAGAGCAGCGGCGTATTTAGCCGAGGGTCGTGGGTTCGAATCCCGCTGGTGACACTATCTTTTTTATCTCAACCAATACCTTATATAAAGGTTTGACAAAATATTTTTTCCACCAAAAAATTATAATCAGGCTTTATTGGACGCAGAAAACTAATATCAACTTTGTTTCATGCTAGAAAAATTAAGGGAGTTCAAAATAATTATGTTATTATGATCTTAATAGTTCGAATTTGCTGGCCCGTAGATTGATTCTTATTGTATGTTGACTCACACCATTTCTTCCCTTGGTATATTTTTCTTGTTGTTATATTGAGAGTTGTTACAACAATAATTAGCTATCTTCTTGCAAGAGTAAAATTAATTTTCATTTAATTAAAAAGTTTATAAATAGATTCAATAAGGAATAATAATTTACTCGCTGTAGTAAAAGCAAAGTAAATTTACAAATTGGTACGAAGGTCTTCATTTCGTAGTAGATGAAGTACAAGTTTATTCGCGCACTCGGCCCAATGGCACCTCCTCTCCAAGAAGGCTTAACTATCTTAGTTCTTATTTTATCGTGTATTTTAGAAGCACCTATTCACAACCATTTTGACCACAAATTTTTCTATTACTTACCCGTCCACAATTTAACGAATGCATAAGATACAAATGTCACCGTAACATCCGTCAAGCCTAAGCTGCGTCTAACACACTCTGGTCTACTGCTGTACACCATCTAAATCTATACTGAAAAAACAACTTTGACAACTACGAAGACGTTTAGGACTGAAATGTGATCGACCGCCCAAACTCAACTAATACTGTAAACAAGATTATTGCGACCTTGGACATATGGAGTTCCGCCAAGCCTCCACTATTCAATGCATTTAATCCTTCCAATAAAAGTCCTTAGAAAAATTGTTAAAGTGCCTAAAAATACATCATTATCTACTACGACATCCACATGGCTTTAGTCAGCCAATTAATCCGCTCCTGCTTACAGCTAACTCTCCATCTTAACTACTGCCCTATTATGTTATTCCATCTCGAAAACCAATCACGTCGCATCTTCGGTAAAGGAGCATTCTTAGTTGTATCTTGTTTACATATACACGCGAATACTAACCAAGTAACCTGCATCATCCAAGAAGACCGTGACTTTGTCAAAGACTGGTGCAAAATAAAGAAGACAACATTTCCTTCGTTAACGAACTAATCCAATCCCGATTTCAACAGTAATACACCAACTTCTCGACCCTCCCTCTTACTTTAAAAGATGATGACCTCAAGACCTACATACCTCTTCTAAAAGAGTACATGCATTGACTAGTTCCTCTTAACATCTGTCCTGCGGGTGCTGCGTTGTGGCCGGTAGAAATAAAATTCTATAATCACATATTTGTAACACGTATGGGTAACCATTATCTGAGGTAAAGACAATGAGTTAATCCGTATTGTTTTTTCTGTTTGCGCAGGATTTAATTTAAACCAGGAAATATCTATTTTTATGACAGTGAAACGTAATTGTTTTAATTAGATGTTCATTTTCTCCAAAGTAATGCTAGTAGTCATATTAAATTATTTAAAAAAAACATGAAAGAAATTTCACTAGAATTTGAACTATAATCTTGTCTGCATGGATGTTATTTTGTTTTAGTTGTTATACAAGAAAGAAATTAAGGTTACATATAGTAAGGGAGATCGTTAGAAGCTGCCCATTGACTGTGGCGATGTGTCCTCTGCTGAACCTGCATAGAGTCACTTATTGGGTCTGTTCTTTCAAACCCACGGTGAAAACAGACCCCATAAGTGCCTCAAGCCGGTTCAGAACGAGCTTATCAAACCGCAGACCGACACCTTTATCAGCTGGAGAAGTGTTAGGCATTCCCAGACCAAGCTTAGAATTGAAGGTAAATGAGTTTAAGGCCGTCAGTGCTGCTTGGCTATCTGAGGATACGTATATCTGTGATCTGTGTCTCTTTTAATTTGTTTAAGTATTCCTTTTACAGAGATTTCGATTGCATGGGTCTGGCATGGAGAGTTCAAGGCGTGGGGCCTTAGAGGTTTCGCTAGGTTGTTATTTGGGCTATTTTCCTGTTGGTTCAGTGCGTAATTCGCAGGGAAACGTTCTAGATTTTATGTTTAATGCATTTTACTGAATTTGTCCGACTGCTTGGATACCAACCATCCAGGTTGGCCTATCATGTTTGGTCTGTTGGAATGTTCATACGTTCGACGTATCCAGCAATTG